CTACTGTGCTGATGGAATTGGTCTCTTATTGCCCATCAGTATATCTAGAGGCTACTCCAACTCTAAAATCAATTCATCTTTGTTTGAAGCCAATGGCATAGATGGGTGGTGGAGGGGAGGAGGGTGGGGCATAGATGGGTGGTGGAGGGGAGGAGGGTGGTGGAGAGTGGTGTTGGCGAACATACATTATTGTATGCCCCAATCAATGGCAGAGTTATTCCACTGACATCACAGACATGTGAAAGGAATTCAGATTCAAACATTTCCAACTTTCTTGTTATTATAATTTTTTTCAAACTGTTTTCAAACTGTTATCAACCTGTTTTGCTGATTTGTCTGCCTTCATCCAATTTCATATGATACAAAGCCTTTTGAAAGGTCCATTGATTGCCCACAAGATAAGCAAACCTATATGACAGGACTTTGTACAATATTAAAAGCCCATATGATATCAATGATTCACCATACAGTGTACAGTAATACACAATGCTATTGCCAAGTTTTGTGTTGTTGAAAGCCGGCCGGTTGGTCGGTATTCCTACCGGCTTCCCTGTTTTCTGCCTGTGTTGTTTTGTGTTTTGAAAGGCAGGAAACCAATCCCTTTTGAGCCAACTCTAGTCTGTAAAATCAGACCCTTGTTATCAAGTTTGGTAGATGGTCAATAAATGGTGCTGTTTTGGGGTTGTGTTTGCATAATCGTCTTGTTTACCCTCAGCAATAATGGATTGATTGTCCAGCTCATCTGATATGTCACTGGGCACAGTTAAAAGGGGGATTTTCCAGGACCAATACCACCAATGGGTTATACCTAGATAGGCACTGATTACCTGATGGTTACTTGAAGTCGCATGGATGGAAATATTAGTCAAAATCTTGTAGTGTGTGCCATGGTTCTGTGTGTTACCTCAGTCTTAGAATAGAAATACATCATATACATGTATTGTACATGTATCGGTGAAAATATAATAACAATTTTCTAATTTATATAATGCTAAACACATCTCCAATGTTTCTAAGCACTTAAAAGAATATATGTTGTACAGTATAATATGTTTGCTTATGTCAGAACATCATTTTGATTTCCTTCTTAGATTGTTGAACTGAATTCATTTTTGTTGTTGAAATAAAGTGTAGTTTGTGAGACTAGCAGGATGGATGGTGATGGGGTCATGCTTCAATCTGACCCCAGCCAGTTTCAATCTTGAAATGGGCTAAATATTTCTTCCAGGGACAGAAATAGGAGATGAAGAAATTGAGATTTTTTTTTCCCTCTCGTTAGGGGAGGGGGGGGGGGTATGGTGTGGCCTCCTGGGGTTAAGGATAGCACAAGGATATTACATGTGTAGCAGTGATCAAGTGGTTTTGAGAAGTAGAAAGAGGTTGTTGTTTTTTTTTGTTTTTTTTGGGGGGGGGGGTAGAAAGCATGGTAGGCCATCAAGGTGTTAAGCAAAAATATATGGCTTTAGTGAAAGGCTGAATGAACAAAGTTTATTTAAAGGAATTTTCAGAAGATCCAAGGACATAGCCTGTACTGACTTTTTCATTTTAACAAATTTATTGATTGATATTTTGGGGGGGGGGGGGGGGGAGCGGGAGGAGAAGGAGCTTATTGAAACAGTGCCTACATTGGATTTTTCAATGTAGGTGTAAAGTGTAGACGTATTGTAGTTTTCTAGTACGGTACATGTATCATACAAATCAATAAGGGAGGAGAAGAAAAAAAAAAAGGGGAGGCGAAGAAACTTGCTCTTTGACCCGCCAACCATAACTGAGGGGAATATTTTCATCTTGTAATCCAACACTGCACATGTGATCACATAATGTAGACCTTCAAATCCCAGTTGTGAGACTGTGCCAAAAAACTCTAAAGTTACATCCCTAGATCTGAGCAGGAGATTTACAGGAGAGGGAGTGGTACCGAGAGTTGGCCTGCTGCAAACTATAGTCAAAGCATTCAGTAGACCTTGGCAGAATATTTTCATCTGTTTCATATTACCATTCTGAAGTGTAGAAATTATTTTCTTGTTTACCAAGCCATTTCCAGATTTTAAAAAATGCATGTTATTGTCAGATTTCCTTAAAGCAGTTTTGGTTTTTGTTTGTTTGAGTTTTTTTATCAGAGCCACTTTTCATATTGCATAACATATAAATACCTGGGGGCTGTTTCTCGAAACCGTCATAACTACAAGATCAACGACATCCCATTGACTTGCGTGTATTAAGTTTAACACGCGTTTCAATGGGATGTCGGTGAACTGGTAGTTATGACGGTTTCGAGAAACACTGCCCTGTATACCACATTACACACAAAAACAGAAATGTGATTGGAAATTTGAGCATTAAGAATGTTCTCAATTAGTTACTATCTCTATCATTTTCATAATTGAATTGACCCAAGTCTCTATCTTTTATTGTACACTAAAAGTACAACTGTTATCCAGGACTGGGCTTTTCTTTATTTATTTATTACTGGGCTACATAGATGCAAGTCTAGTCACTTGATCACAAACTTTTTGATGAACAATAAATCAGCATAAACATGTCAAAGAGATTATTTTTATTTCCTAACCACAAGCACTATTCAGGAAACTCAACATTGTGATTTAGGGCCTATCTATATTCTGGGAGACAGAGGTGTTGAAATGTAGTTGTGGTTGTGAAGAAGGAGGGCATGTTGAAGAGAGGGGGGGGGGGGGGGGGGGGGGGGGGGTCAAGCAGATAACTGCAGCCATAGTGAAAATGTTGCCTCTGTTTTCACGGAATCAAATCTATGTATAGTAAATTTCTCCATTTCTTTCCTTTCCAATCCAATCCCATGATCAATTCAATAGTTCTGTTTGTTATTGTTCTGGCAGTTTTCCTGGTCTGACCGGATCAAGTAACAGTATTAAGGTGCTTCCCAACCAAGCCTATCTTTTGCTATTGTTCATCTATTGATAGCAGTCTTACTGACGTAATACCCTCACTCTGATGAATACCCGTACACATCTTACCTATTCACATTTCTGAGAACTTTCAAGCAAGTATACAAACAAAAACTTGGCACAGGATGAGAAACCTCTATTTGGTGATGCACAGTGTCAATGCGAATCAATCACTCTCACCATCTAAAAACAAACAAAAACAAAACATGCCCAGTCTTCAGACTAAACCTGATTATTGATATTGAAATAATGATAGTTGTGCTCATGAGTCATGAGTTTGTTAAGATAAATGTTGTGTTTGTGTAAAAAAAATTACAAAGCATTAATAGTGTTCATAGAAATAAGCCTTTTTTGAAATGGAGTACTTTCCCTGAAAAAGACTGGATATTTATGTAATCATTCTATTTGGGGGGATAAATGGAATTGTGTATGTTTTACATTGATAGTCTTCATGGAAAGACTACATGAAAACCACAGACTTCTATTTATTGCTTTCTTAAGAAACTTAGATGAGGTCATGAACAAAAGCACTAGAAATTGATTCCAAATGCTATTGATCCTGTTCACACGAAAGGTTTCAGGCATACTATCTGATTGTTCCTGAAATCGATCAATATCGCTCCAGTCCTTTTTAACCTCATTTGCCTTAATTGCTTTCATTGTGGCCATTCTTTCAGACAGTGATTATTGAATGAACAATTCTTAAAAATCGATCAATGGCCATTTTATATTAGTCTTCTTTCTCTGTCTATCTGTCTATCTCTCTCTTTCTCTTGCTCTCTCTCCGCTTCAATCTCTTTCTCTCTTCATTGTTGTGTGAAGATGATATTCCCCCTCCATTTTATCCTTCACTATGATGCAGGGAAAAATATTTGAATTATTTCGGGGGCTACTTTTCAAGCTTGCTTACATGAAAATAACACTCTTTAACTTGTTTTGCATTGAACCCTATGCAAATTTAAGGGAGCTCTTTTATGACTTTCGGGGGCTAATTCGCCCCAAGCCCCTGTGTATTTTTTCCCCTGCTATGATGATTTTTTAGATGTTTGTCTGATCTGGCCCTTATACCAGATTCCATTGTGATGGATGAAACTCAATTGAGCTTTGGTCTGAAAGGGGTGTTTTGATGAAGAAGACATGTTTTTGCACAGATATGCTGACTTAAGTGGAAGTAGAAGAGGACAAGCTCTTTAAAAAGATTTGAATATGCTTAGTTTGCATTAAAATGAAATCAACTAATATTTAAATTGTCAAGTAGTATGTAAAAATAAAGGATGATATAAAAACAATTCAGCATCTTTTATAATGCAGCACACAATAAGCCTAACCCAGTTATATGGTTATTGTTTGATACAATGTTAGCTCAGGTAATTTACCTTGATTCGTAATCAAGCTTTTGTTTTGAATGATACCGGTACTCTCAGTTTCACTATAAGATCCAGTGATAAGAAAAAAATTAATTACCTATAAATAATAAGATATGCATTGCCTATCTAAATGGATGGCAGTTTCTTGAGTGGAGGAAATACTTCTACTGTATCTGTTTTCCAGGGATGACAGAAGTGGCATGATTAGAGAGAGCTTCCTTTCATCTTCTGATCATTCAAATTAAATTAGACTGAATCACTGAAGTGCTCTATTAACGGCCGCAAATAACGTTTCCTTGTTATTTTGAAAACTGATGTCAGTGTTTGTTCTCTTTTACAGAGATTCACTCCTATTCTTTTCCGTAGCATTGTTATTTTAACTTGTTTTTCTTCCTGCCATTAAAACTGTTTTTGCCAACTTTTTGATCAAGTTCAAATATAAATTTAGAATTGATTTTACACTACATTGTAAACTATTTGGTTATATACTTCCAGAAAAAGATTTTTTTTTTTTTTTTTTACCAAGTACCGGTAATAAAATTGACGGTATGTTTAAAGAAATATAAATTGTTGAATTATTCCATTTCCCCGCAGGCCATGGTGTAAGAAACCATTGCAAATCTTTCATGAATAACATTTTTTTCTGTATTTTCTTTTTTCTTCATTTCAGGTGATAGTGTGTTGAGCGGAGGAGGCCCTATGTCACCTACTAGTTCTCTTAGCTCTGGTTACGGGAATGTTTCACCCAGTCCATCTCCTTCAATTAACACTCACTTCACGTGGGATGTGTTGAGAAGTACTCCCAGTCCTGCATCATCAAATAATAGTAAGTTGTTTATTTTAGTCAAGTGGTTTTAACTCTATACCAGCTAGGGTCTCCAGTGTGGCACTTATGTTTAAACGCAGCATTTAATCTAGCTTGCTTCTCTGTACCCGGGTATATAAGTGGGTTCCTGGTAGCTACAAAGTGAGTGTATGAATAGAATGTGTATACCAACATAGAATGTTCCTTAGTGTGGGGTAGAGATGAAGCTCACTGGTGACCAGGGGTATCAATAATATTGTAAAGCAACCTGTAAGGCTGTAATACTCATGTAATACATTATTATCATTCATGTAAACATGAATGATTAATTGTTGTTCTTGTTATTTCATTTCTCAGGTGACATGGAGAATTTGCCGCCGTGCCCTCCTTTCACTACAGCCAAGGTTCCATGCCATCTTCAGCTCTCTTCAGTTCATCCATTGATGAAGGGATCGACATCAGTGGAGGAAGCTTGCCATTCTCTATGGATGATAATCTACCCAATGATAGTCCTACCAAAAAATTCAAGGTAAGAATTCAATCTCTAGAGGTGTAAAAAAAAAACTTCTCTGGACCAATAGAGACCTTTGCTACACACATTGGATGCAGGGAAAAAATACGTTAAAAATTTCGGAGGCTAGTTTTCAAGCTTGCTTGCATAAAAATAACACTCATTATTTTGTTTTGCATTGAACTCCATGCAATTTTTTCCCATTTTTTTTTTTTTTTTTTTTTTTTTTGGGGGGGGGGGGGGGGGGATGGGGGGCTCTGTTATGACTTTCAGGGGCTCTTTTTGGCATTTCAGGGGCTAATTCGCCCCAAGCCCCCAAGTATTTGTTTCCCTGATTGGATGATGATAAAGGAAAGATACTTTTATTTGTTGTAGCAGAGTCATGTTTGGGGTAAAATCATGCCAGTTAACTATCACAGGGAGAAATATACTATTCTAACTCGAGGGAAATTTATAGCTGATTTGAAATATTCCTCTGCTTGAAAATATATTTGAATGAGTGTAGGAGTTTAAAATGCTTTAATTTGAATTTAACTAACTGATATCTGATAAGTGATAACTCTGTTTTTGCATTCAATTGACACATGCATTCAAACTACCAGATTCCCCTATTTTCCTTTAGCTGCTACACACAAGCTTTGCAAACATAATTCCCTCCTGCCTTGTCCCATTCACTTGACTATGAGATTTTATATAAACATTGGTTTGCTCCACTTTTTAACGGTAGGGGTGCCAACTCCATACTCATCAGGTTCAACAAACTGTGTATCCGAGGCATGTGTTCAGCTCATGAGCAGGTATTCATGATGAAAAGATGGATGCAATGTGTTCATTTGAACTTGCCTATCTAGCATTTAAATCCCAGGTTACTAAAAAATCTTTCATAGTTTGTTTTAGGGAAGAATTTTGTATGTGTATCCTACAAAAAATAATGATGTAAATATTGATATTATTAGAATAAAATGTTATTGCTGACTACAAGAGAACAGAAGAAAAGTCTTTTTAGACAGTTAAGTGATAGAAAGAATATTGTATCCAGGAATCATACTTCTGAAACATGATTTGAATAATAATTTTGAGAATATATTTATCAGTGGTCTGTAGTTACACAGACTAGTAGACTATATTTGATTACAATGACCCAATAGAATGACCTATGAATAGGACAGCCAATCACATTGCAGGAAACACAGGCTTAGCTGCCACACCCCTGAATTGCCCACAAGAGACAGATGTACTAGTCTGCTTTTTCAGACACATATCGTTTGCTTTTTTAGACTATGCACACCAGTGCTTGTGGTTACTTTGCTTTTATTTATTATTCTGCCATGTTAGTTTTTAATATATCATATATTGGTTTGTTGAATATCTTGTGTACCTAAGCCCAATATGAAGCTGTGAAAAATTATTTTTCGTCAATAAAGGGGAAGTCCATGCTGATATAAAGTTGGATTTACTCGAAGCAGAAAATGAGATGAACATATCAGTATCTCTCATATTTCTTCTTCTAAAACTTAATATCAGGGTGGACTTTCCCTTTAAGACATTATTTAGATTAAAGAGAACCTGTAAGTCTGACTATGATAGCTACTATGTGTTAATAGTTAGCTGAATACCATTATGCCTTCAAAGATTTTGGTATTTGGAAATTAAAAAGTCATGATATTACCAGCCTTTTCTTTAAACATATGCCTTTTGTAGTTCCTTGACTATTGGAAAATGAAATCTTTAGGAAATGTTAAAGAAAGAGTCACAGAATGAGATAGAAATATGTCTGAGGCTGAGACTATTATTTCCCAGGCACTTGTACAGTTTATCATCCCTCATGTAAGAGTGTGTGTGTGTGTGTGTGTGTGTGTGTAGGGTAGGTGTGTTTGTCATGGTAGAGAACTGCATAAATCCCGGCCTACTTTAGTACCATCTGGGCTTTGTCATTTTTGAGAGGAGACAAATGAAAGAGATTGGAAAAACAGATCCCGGTTTTCATTCTTCCTGAATTTGATGAGCCAAATATAGACCTCTTTTCTTTTCTTTGGGACAATGAGGGAGTGCTGATTGGTCGTTATGCTTTAATGGTGGTGGTGGTGGGGGGGGGGGGGGGGTGGGGGAGAGGGGTGGGGGAGAGGGGTGGGAGAGAGGTGAAGGTAGAGAAGATCGACCCCTACATGGATATATCATGTCCCCTATTTTTGCCCCCCCCCCCCATTATCTTGCATACATACATTTTTTGCCTATCCCTACATAGACATCATTAAAATGAAAAATATAAACATAATAAATAAACACAAATATAATTCCTTCTAAAATGTAGATGAAAACCATCTGTATTGCTATTAGATCTTCACTGGTTACTATATTTTGTATTTCACACTGGGGCAAGCCAATTACATTACAGTTATAGATATTTTTTGTGTTTTCTAGAGGTCATCGATTTTAAAACTATGAGTATAATCGCTGTATTTCTATTTTGTATTTTAAGTTCACTTTTCATTTAATCTTTCTAGACCCCGAGGAAAAACAGTTTTGTCATATTAACAAAACTAAGTGGGCTTTACAGGCATTCACTATATTCTTAATTTTATATGTACTTTTCCATTTTGTGTGGATTGTATTTTTATATTGTGATTTGGAAAATAAATACCATACCAAATTAGCAGCAAAAGAATATTGGATAGGAAGTATCAGACAAGGAGATATATAGTAATAAAGATTGTAAAGAATGATGTATTTATGTGTCAAAGTGAGATCTTCTCAAAATAATGGTGCCCTGAGAAATGAAACAAAAATTATGATGGCAATTCATTTCATAATACCAGGTGCGCTATGCTCTGCCAATGAAGCGAAGTAAAACACATGGAAAAGAGGTTAGGGGCTAAAGCACCTCAAATCCAGGGTTTGATTATATTCAAACATGGATTTGAATACAGTCTGACTTCAAATTTATAATTATGTTATACTTTGTTAGTAGCCCAGATATTGACTGATGTTTCATGCTACAGAATGATATTCATGACTGCAACCATAACACCTCTGAATGTTTGTATTATGAAAGTTTCTAGCCCCTTACGGAAACCAGACACAGATTATTAATATAAGTTTCAGATCACAAAATGTGTCTGGTTTTACATTCATTTCCTTTATGATTCAAAATTATTTTTAGGCTTGAAAATATTGATCTATATGTTTATCTTTGTTATATATTACGTTTTACTGTTTAAGTGGAATTTAATTTATATTTTAATTGAATTGAATGCCAAATATGTTTTAAAAGATAATTTATACATATAATACTTTACATAATCATAATGCCTGCACAAATATTGAGAAATACAACTAACAGGAAATTGTTTAATGCAGTTACATGATATTATTGAATTAGAATAATCTTCTTCTTTACAGTCAAGTAAATTTTTGAAAATATCTTTATAAGAAAAATAAGAGATAGTTGAATTGTAAATGAGAGACATAAAAAAGAAGAATGTGAATGGGGATATTAGACAGGGAAAATATATGGATATTTCTTATATCATAATAGGCTCATGATAATATGTAATCTTAGATGCAGTGTTCTTACCTCCATTTTGCAGACAATTGAGAGGAAAGCTATATTTCTGAAGGAAACAAGATTTCAAGCTGGTTGTGCTTTGCTTCAAGCAATAATTCTCCCAACTAGATTTGCCATTCCTCTTGTGATCATTACTCCCCCTTACAATATTAATGAATTTGCAGTTTTAGGATTATGTTCCTTCTTATGTAATTGCAAGGTAATGGATTTATATGCATTACTTAGGAAAATGAATTTTCCTTTTATTTAAATATTTTTAGACCTATACATATCTATCACAATATGTAATTTTATATTTAAAAGAAAATGGTACAAAGAGGGGAAGATCGATAATTTACAATGATCTTTGCATAAGGAAGTTTCTCAAGCAAAGAGTTATTTAACAGTAACCCTCCCTCCCTTCCTCTTATTTTGCTAGTGGTCTTATCATTGTTCTTTGATGGTTTGATTTCACATGGCTTATCATAATCATGTACATCATAATCTATCCTGAAACCTGTACTAAGGCCTTTCAAACAAATATTTCCTTTTATCTTATTCACTTTCTCTCTCCCTCTCTCTCTCTCTCTCTCTCTCTCTTTCTCTCTCTCTCTCTCTCTCTCTCTGTCTCTCTTTCTCTCCCCTGCTCTCTTTTCTGCCCTATGCATGATAGAGAGTTCAAGCAACCGACCTACTTATAATCCAGGGACCCTCTAGGCTCTATTGTCTTGGTACATTGAATTGGAAACAGCATAGTCAGATAGAAATTGATTACAACATTCTTTTTAAACAGATGTTGCTGAAAACTCTGTGTCCGCCAAACTATTTTAAAGGGTTGTCTGGATTTCTTGTGTCACTCAATATTTAATCCTTGTTTGACCATTCAATTTAGCACAACTCATTTGTCTTTGTGATGTGTCATCCATCTGATATTGTTCTAATAACTTGAATAATAACAACTCACAGGTGAAAGCCAAAGATGATATGAGAGATAAATAAAATAATACCGGCATGGTGGGATATAGTTACATCATTGAGATGCTTGACTGAAGGCAATAATAATTTAGCAGTTGAAATAATTTTGTTTTGTATGAATTGTTGATCTATTGATCTCTTTCTCAAGAGCACAAACAAAGTTATAAAATCCCAAGTTGGATACAATGAAATTTATGACTGTTATAATTTAATGTAGAATTACTGGTCATTAATTTCTATGGCATGCTTGGTAATAAAATGTATACCAGCAGATAATCACAAGAATTTATTTTATCTTCACTAAAATAGGATGTGACTTATATTTGTTACAGCCATGATCATGGTATAGGCCTATAAGTTCTGAAGGTGAAAACAGGAATACCAATCCCAAGGCCTCATTACAGTGTTATAAGCAGTCAATCGTGATATTATCCAAACTGGAGGTATTTCCTTTTACAAAGAGCAATGTCACATATTTTTGAAGATTAGAAACAAAATCTATTCTCATATTTCTTTTGATCTCAAATGGCATGAGTGAAGGAGCTCTAGAATACCTGAGTTTTGGTTGCAAGAGGGGTAAGAAGGATTGATGGAATAGCCCAGTAAGGAGATACGTTGAGGTGCACAGTGGGATGGCATGAGGTCTTGACACATAAGCAGAACGTGCATGCTAAAAATAGGAAGAAAAACTCTGCAAGTGGGAAAAATTGAAAATTGATCCTTTCTCAAGATCTATGTTATTTTGACAAGAAGACGTGGCAAGCCGTTTGTTCAGATGTATGTGATCATAAGTAAAGGTGTAGTGGTCTGTTTACTAGGAGGATCCAAATAGGGAGGGAAGGAATAAGGCAGGTGGGGTGGGGGGGGGGGGGGGGCGATTGGTGCATACCCCTCTATTCCATGGCTACTAGACTGAGCCTGCTGTATTCTTTTTTCTCTCTCTCTCTCTCTCTCTCTCTCACACACACAGGTATGGAATCCTGAAGTAATATTGGTTAAGTATTAACTAGTTTAGTGACAAGTTCTCTGTGGACTTTCTATCTCATCTGTGATGAGAAATTTGTAGATTTTGTCTTTTTTCTAAATCTTCATTTGTTGTTGTTGTTGTGGAAACTTTAAAATAGCTAGACTTATGCATTCTAGAACATTTTTAAAGTGATATACACAGTATGTGTATTTCAACCAGTGGAACACATTTATTAATAAACACTATATATACGATTCAGGTTGCATTGATACCACACGACTTTAATGTAATGGATATCTGCCATACAAATGATATCTAATTGAACATGTGTATAAGCTTGGAAATGGAATATATTCCTTCATAGGAAAAAAAGGGCCAGACTCAAACTGATTTTATTTTCTTTCTTTAAACACAACTCATCGTTACTCACCAATTAGATATATTTTGCAAGGTTTAATGTCATGTGCCTCGTTTCCACACAGCTATTGGTTGCAGTGTGTATGACCTGGTAATTGCTCTGTAATTTGGTCTGATTTTGTGAGACTATAGATCATCTTAAAATAATGTTAGGAAGGCAAGGTGAAATAGACTGGTACCCAAAAAATGTTGGCATGCGGCCAGTGTATACATGTTATCCTTTATTAATTGTGTGATCATATACCACTCCTTTTTCAAATCTTGTTTATTTTCGTATAATATCAAATAGAAATGAGACAATTAGGATGCCTGTCGCGGAAGACATACATTGGCATGATGCCCAGCTTGCTTAAAGCCAGAAGGGTATTAATCGCATTTTGCTTTTTGGTATATTGATAACTTTTTCAAGTTTAAAGGTAAAGACCAGTATTGGAAATGCCCCAATTTCAAAAAATTAAATGGAAGCTCTTTATTACCAATCATGTGAAAGAATATGTTTTGACTAATACATGATGATAAAAATTTTGCCGGGAAACTGCCTACTAATTGATATATTTGGTAAATTAGTTTATCTATTGGACTGTGAGAGATAAACGCACGTGTCGCGCACGTGTGTGTAGTCCCATATACATCTTTCTGTGTACAGTGCTTGTAACTTTACAAAGACTGGGCCAAATTTCTTATCATTTTGATGATTCCAGAACCTTGCACTACACACCAATTTTTATATGCTAGATGATTAACCTTTTCTGATCGATTCCACAACATCTCTTTCACAATGCAATTGCATAACCATAACTGGTCTTTATCTTTAAACCTTCACCTTCAACCAACAGTGATATCAATTACTGGATTCATTCAGTATTGCACCTAAATTTGTAATGTTAGAAAAAGGAAAAATCAATTTCTGATGGAATAAGATTTGATATGTGTGAGGTTGGCAAATATTTATTTTATGTCTTATGTACTTTTCTCACAAGTCAATCAAGGCTCATTGTGAAAAGGAATAACACTATAACAAAAACTCTAAATATGTTTCTTTGTTTCGTGCAGCCGTCAATGAAGACATCCTACAAATGTACATGGCAGGGATGCGGAAAGACCCTCTCTACAGTTCAAGGCATCGAGAGACACATCAGAACAATCCACCTCAGGTAAGCCAGATGACCCTTGACCTCCTCATATGATGTTTATATGTGCGCCATCCTCACTTAGTAGCATCTCCTTTTCATTCTTATTGCCATGCTATCATCATCCCACTGTCCTATTCTAGTCTGCTGTGTTCCTCTGGTCTTGGTCCTCAGGTCTTCTCCACTGTTCGAGTCCACATCCTTGGTGAGATGTGTAGAAGGAAAAACATGTCATTGTGAATAATGATGTACACCTATTGAAAACACTCATATAGAAGAATTTCTCCTTTTTATCTCTGCATGGAAAATGGTCGTAAATATAGCCATTTTTTCTTTTCTTTCATCTGTGCTCATGCTATATTTATGCATGTTGATGTTTTGGATTGGCACCACCATGCCAACTACTGTTCAGAAAAATTATTTTTAGACCACTGCCCCCCCCCCCCCCACCCCCGCCCTTTGTCACCCTTTATTCCCGATGAATATGATATGAAAAGAAATATCACACAAAAGAGGTAGGATAAAAAGCAGGATTGGTTTCTATTTATTGAGATTATAAAGAACTCATAATGTAAACACCGTATCATGCTCATGGAAAGAGGAGCTTCTGAATCAGTGCCAGGGAAAGCCGGTTGCCGGTGATTCAATTAACTCTCAGCCACAAACTTTTCTCCACATGTGATTTAATTTGGAGTAGTCATAGCAATCATTTACATCATAACATCTACCATACAGAAACATCTCACTAATTGTAGGTTGAGCGCTTAGGGCAATACTCGTTCATTTTGTGGGAGTTCCTGCGTATGGCTGTTAGCATTGTGTTTGAATTAGGAGTGAATTAGGTTTGCGGGAGTTCACAATACTTTCATAACATGTTACATTGTGCGGGTTATGTACGAAATTGCACAAAATTGCTTTGCCTTGCGTGCATGCTCTATGTTTGTTGCCTGGGATTAGATGAGGGGCTTATCAGCCTAATTACTTATGAATGCAGATATTTCATGCACGTACAAGATCGCTATGCACTTGCGAGGGGTTTTAGATTAATTTATGGAAATGGGTGGTTGCAGCATACTAATCGCCCAGGATAGGCAGAGTGATATTACCCCGTCTCTCTTTGTCTCCGTCATGCATACTATACTACTATCTTGTTAGATTTGTCCTTGGCATTCATATCTTCATTCATGAGTTCATTTTTAAAACTATCTCTATCTCTCCCCTATCTCTCTATCTCTTTCCCTCCCCCCCCCCCCTCTCTCTCTCTCTCTCTCTCTCTCTCTCTCTCTCTCTCTTTCTATCTCCACACTTTTCCTCTTTCTCCCCTGCCTCTTCCTTTCTGTTTTTATATTGATCTTCCCTAATTTTTTCACTTCAGCATATAGACATCCTCCTTTTTTATCCATCTTCCTCCCATCTTGAATTCATTATCTTTCCCACGTCTTTGCTTATCTATCTCATTCACTATCTTTCTTTCTTTCTTTCTCTCTTTTTTTCTCTCTTTCTTCTTTTCATCCTTCCTTTCATATAATCATTCTATGTCCCTTCCATTCCACTTCCCTCTCAATATACCTCTTTTCTCTTTTTGTGTATATTAAAGGCCTGCCCATTCCTACCTGTCCTTTGCTCATCTTCGTATTACTGTTTAATGTCAATGAACTTATCTCTAGGCTGCAATACCAGGCCCCTTTCATAATGTTCCCCCTTGGATCAATATCTTTTGAATTGGGGAAAATTCAAAATTGAAGCATGAATCGATTCAACCATGTCAACTCTACTAATATCTTCACTACCTGCTGGTTCACCTGACATTTGAGATATTATTTGAAGAGGTTTTCACATTGAAATTGCATAAAAACGCAACAAGGGAAAAGGTTAGATGAAGGAAACTAAGTACCGGTAGAATAGAATCAATGTTCCCAGGTCCGTCCGTGTTGCAGGCAGGCACACAGCTCACAGGCAGGCACACAAGGTATAGGTTTCAGCATGCTCATCTATGCAGCCCTTGCCCTATAGTACTACCATGATGGATTGAGGTAGGGATTCACCAATATACTTGACCCAAAGGCATGAGATGAATCTCTTACACATTTATCTTGTTTTCATTCTAATCATAAAAGGGGAGCGGCCAGCTAATAAAATTGATATTCCTTCTATGCTTGATATGAAGATTTATGGTTGGGGTTTTGTGGCTCTTATCAAACAACACCAAAGCTTAATTGACCAGGGCAGGTCTAGATGATTAGACTAAATTCAAAACGATAATGTCCACCATAGCACAGTAGGGTTTCTATATATCATGCAGGACATTGAACCTTCGTGCGGTTCAATCTAGCAATTGGTTCAACATGCTGCTAGTCATGTGAGGAAACATACCATATGGTATGGTTTTATACCACAACCGCTGTATGTTCCATGCTTATGGTCATGTAGTTAGACGTGATTTTGTGTCACCATTAGTCATGTGGAGTTCTGTTGGCTTTATAGAAATAAAAATATTAAATATGATCCGATGCATTTTTACATTACCAAGCTGTTACAATGTTGACTTCTCCATCTTGCTATCCCCTCCCCCTCTCTCTCTCTCTCTTCATCTTTCACCCTCTCTCTATCTTTCTCTTACTCTCATAAATTCATTCTATTTTTTGTTTTGTTTCTCTGTATGTCTGTCTCTCTCTCACTCTCTCTCACTCTCTCTTTCTTTATCATTTGTTCAATAAGTCTATATCCGTCTTTATAATTATATGTCTCTATCTCTTTTCATATTCTGGATCATGTATTGTCTTCATTAGACCTTCTGTCAATACGTCTCTTTCTCAATCAAATCATCTCCCAACCAGTATCTTTTGTTATTCCATCTCTCGCTCTCTGCTTGTCCCGATTGACTATTCACACTCAGATCTTGATCAATAATTGATAATCATGCTTATAGAGCAAAGATACAAATTACTTTATCCTTGGCCCTTTATGAATAATTCATCAGCCATTTTCAGCCTATCAGTTTGTGTCCTCAATGCATTGTATCATCATCTGTGCTAGTTAGAGTGTGAAATGTACCGGTAGTTGACTAGTTGTTATGTATGCGGACGGATAGTGGCGTAGCATATTAGATCCAACTTCAAAGGGTGCACTGAAAATATTATGTAGATGAAATGGAAGAGAATGAGGGAGTCTTTGTCATCTTGCTCTTCACTCTGTCTGTCTTTCTCTCTCTCTCTCTCTCTCTCTCTCTCTCTCTCTCTTTCTCTCTCTCACCATGAGGGAGGGGGCACTTGTCCCACCGGCTCCCCTTCCTTCATAGATATGTTAATATACTACACTCTATAGGTCAAGGTTTGTTTTTAATGTTGTTGTGAGATTTTGAATTATGATGGTTGTTGATGGAATTGAGGCATTTAGATGGGAAGCTCAGCTTACTTTTTATATCTTACTTGAGGTAGTTATATCATAAATGTGATGGTAGTAATTGATCATTTGGCATTCTTCCAAATGCTCCCTCTCTCTCTCTCTCTCTCTCTCTCTCTCTCTCTCTCTAACCCTATTTATCAGTATTTACTTTAATGTTGTTTCATTTTGATACAGAGATAGTTATGCACATTTGTTATTTATTTTGCCATGATGAATCAAGAATTTCAATTCGCTTGTAAGCTCATTCCTGGTCTTATTAACCACCCTCTTATTCACTGTTTACACCGAAACAATCAGCCTTATTGGGAATCAGGAGGAAAGAAGAATCCTCATTATTCTAGTGATATCATGTGATGATGTAATCAGTGTTTCAAACCTATTTAGCATTTATCGAGTGCGGCATGATATAACATCATGAGATATTATTCTAATGTCAGTACCTGATGATATAGTCAAAAAGCTCTTGAGCCCAGATTTAGTGATTCATAGAACCTCAGGCTCACGTCCGAGAAGAAAAACGTGAAGGTGAGAAATAATTATGATCTCATCCAGAAACCCATGAAGTATTTCAAGTATAGTTGGTGTGTTTTATCACCAAGGCCCAATGAGATTGTGATACTCAGATCCAAAGATTAAGTTGGGCAAATATTTATTTGTTCTTGTGCTATATTAGAAAGCCTGCTGCACCTGATAACTCATGTACAGGGGGAAGCCATAACATTCAGAGTAGATCATTTTATCTCAGTGTTTTCATTTAACTATCTGAAGTCTGATCAAGTCATTGTTGTGTTGTGAGGGATAATATTTCTGACATTGATTGCATGTTTGTATTTTGCTTTGTATCTTTTAGTGGTTTATGAAACAGATAAGAAAGGATATCTTAGAATGTTTTTTCACTTGGTGTCTTTTCAGGAAAAAAGAAGGAGAGGAGTACAGTGATCATGAAGAAGAGTTCTACTACACTGAGATTGATACAACGGTCGAATCGGTCTCAGATACACTGGCTAACATGTGTACTTCCTCACCACCACCATCTACTGGATTCATCATCGATCAGAGTCTGCTGCCCCACTCGCATCCGCAAAACATCCCTCAAAAACCCATGGAAGTCTCTTCTCCCTCTCCTATCATGGCCAAGAGAGGGCGACATCTCTCCACATCCAGCGACATTGTTTCTTCAAGCGTCATCTGTGATTCGACCAACCCACCGTTGGTTGGCTCTTTGCCCAATCAAGCAATCGCTATGGTAACTATATTTTGTCATCTTGATATTGTCTCGCGTCCTTTCACTTTTTGGCTAATCTCCCCATCGACCTTGCATCCACAACATTAGAAATTTATCACATTTTGAATCTTTAAATCTCTAAATCTTGTTCAAGTACAATAGATTATTTGAATTGGCAGAGAAAAACAAAACTATAGATTTAAAACCTAGTTGTGAAAGAGAGGTCAGGGATAATTGTAAACACACACACACACACCCACACACAATTGTCAGTTTAGGTAAAAGGTCTGAACTGTATGGACTGGAGGCTAGTTATGACATAGGCCTTGACTATAATATTGTCCTCTAGTAGGTGTGGGTCAAATTGCAATGACATTTCTCAAAGAAAAAGTCTATGCACACAGACCCTATTCCTCTAAGAGTCAGTGATGCACAAGGGACAAATCAGTAACTGTGATCTGAGGGCAAAGAAACTAAGTTTCTCCATCAATTTGAATGATTTATCATTCTAGCTTAGCTTACTGAAAGACATGGATAGCAGGGGATGGAATATAATGTTATACGCACCTTTGCTGACGACGAGAGAGAATCGGTCATCTTGTTCCAAAAGGGTACCTTAGAAGCAACATAGGAAGCTAGGGAGAGTTTGCCAAGCAGATTTCATCGTGTTTCCTGTGTTACATGTCGTTCAGGAAGTAAAGGAAAACCCGCCTGTTCTTTCTAACCTTTGGCTCTGTTTTGGTTTGGAGAGCAGGTTGGCACTAGAAACCCCTGTATCAGACCTTTGTGTAGGATGCTGTACAGTGGAGGGTTTTACACTTTTTATCTTAACATGATGAAGCAGATGACATTCAATAATACAGTCTAGCCCTGTTGTTGTAATCACTCCAGATTGAGTCTGAACTCAGTGTCAAGCGGTAGCTACCCATTCTATCTATTTACACCTAAACAAGCTAGGGTGCATTACATCTCTTATTGGCATTTGTGCCCATGGGATGTTTCTTTATATATTTTTTGTAGAAATTAGGGAATGTTGAGGTAATGGCATCACAATGTCCTTGTCAAGTTGCAAAGTCATCTCCATAACATAGCCATTTTTTGTCATTGAAAATTCATAACTTTCTTATTATAAAAAGTTGTGTGATTTTCCTAAAGCATTATTTTCTGTTTTTCAGATCTTGTTTCTGTTGTCAATTGTGTTTTAGTTCAGAGTTCTCTTTTAATAGTGTTTAGTCTGTCTGTCTGGTGGACTTTTACCAGACTCTTCATCAATAATGATATGCTATGTCAATAGTAATTGTATTTGAGGAGAATAAAGGTGATAAGAATATTTCATGTACCTTATATTTATAGTCGGCTCAGTGTTGCTTTTTATAAACAAGTTTCGAAAATATAAAGTTCAAGATTGCCAAACACAGTATGTTTGTAAGAAACATGTTGTGCTCTATCTTGTAACTTAAACTGAGAGATAAGATAACAAAAACACATTTTAATTGTCTCCTTTGTTCTTTATTTTTTTTATATCCCATTTTCTTCTCTCTACCCTATTTTCTCCACCTCCATGCCTTGTCATTCTTTTTACTTTCTTCTCTATTTGTTTCTTGATCTCTCTCTCTCTCTCTCTCTCTCTCTCTCTCTGTCTCCCTTCCTCCCCCTCTCCCTCTCTCTCTCTCTCACTCATTCTCTCTACAGCTTGCATCTCCAATGAGCCTTCCTAGCAGTGGAGCTCAGTTCTCCTGGTGTCCAGTCTCTTCTTCTCCAGCATCATTCAGCTTTCCCTCATCATCCTCCTCTTCATCATCCCAACCCTCGCAGGTAAGTCATCTCACCTACTCTTCACCTCACCCAAACCAAACCAAACATGATGGGACTATTTTATACACTTATAGTTTTCATTTTACAAGTAATATTTTATTTGCAACACATCAGTGAACAATGACCATTTTTCATATAATGATATACAACATACATTTCTGCCAGTGACAACTTAATTAAAGAATTTGAATGCAGTTAGATTATACAAACAAAAGTGTAAATTCCTACTTTGTATTTCAAATGATCAAATCAACATATCACCAAATCTTCAGTAGAAATTCTTCTGTTTTCACAACTCTAAATTGCTAGCATTGAAGTTGAATAATAAGTCTGGCTACACATTGGAGATAAATAAAGGCAATTTATAATCCTTGCACCATCAAGGATTGCTGCTTGTCTTTATTAACCAGGACTTGAAAGCATCTCTTTCCATTTGTTTCAACTGCAGCCACCCACATTGAACAGGGTCCGTCACAAGTCAGCACCTCACAGCTCTGCTGGACAACCAAAGATCAGATCAGAAGGAAAGAAATGTCGTAAGGTGTATGGCATGGAGAAAAGAGACATGTGGTGTACCCAGTGTAGGTGGAAGAAAGCTTGCGTTAGGTTCACCTAGGTACCACATCGTCATGGGCGTGTCAGGCTCACTTAGATACCACATTGTGATGGGCATGTTAGGTTCACCTAGATACCACATTGTGATGGGCGTGTTAGGTTCACCTAGATACCACATCATCATGGGCGTGTTAGGTTCTCCTAGATACCACATCATCATGGGCGTGTTAGGTTCACCTAGACACCATATCGTCATGGGCGTGTCCTAACCATCCTCACCAGTTATCATGCAAGATCATTGCCCCACCTCCACCACCTCCACCACCAATGCTGTCAACAAGACTCTTTACCCTGTTATGATGATCATGATTGACAAATTTTTCTAACTGACTTCTATGAAAAGAAGAAGATGATTGTAAGTAAGCAATCAGAAGGACATTTGGCTTTGAACCTTCTCCTCTGGGACTTGATACTGAATATTGAATTATACAAATGTTAATGGTCTTGATCTTGTCCCATGCAGTTAGAGAAAAAGCTTATTGTTTACATGCTTCAAGTGAGATTTCTATGCTGCAAACTCCTCTAACTGAAATTCATGATGAGATCATGTCATGCAGCTGGAAAGATTGGGACATAGCTGATTATTAAAGTCATTTCAACATAATGCATATAATGCAAAGATTATAATTTACTTGACAGTTGTTGGTGAGGGTTATTACCAGAAAACAATATGATCAAATACATCCAAGCACTTGCATAAACTCTCTTTTGAGCTGAACTCTTTACTCATGTATGAAGTAAGAGTAGTTGTTAGTGTGTCAGGTTTGACCAAAGGTTGAGTCTCAAAACCTTGAATGTCATGCATTGGAAAGATATGAGACAGATAGATCAATCTGTTTCCATTTTCTACAGTTTGTATAAAACTGTTTGGATTTATACTTTCTTCCATTTTGGTGTTTTGTAAATATATATTACAAACAACTTATCTTTGAATGCGCAAAAAACCTTGGCATTTTTATTTTGTTGATTTTTTGTTGTTGTTACAAGTAGAACAAAAATATTTTTCTATTCTTCACACTTGAATATTCTTTTCATTTACTATTGTGAATTTATTTTACATGAGTGACTAACAAAGAAATTAAGTTGTATATTATGTTAGTGAGATAAAGAAAACATTTTCAAGAAACTGCGTTGATAATGTGTCCTGGAAGACTCCTAATCCTGTTCATCACTTTCAATAAAGATGTACATCTAATTTTGATTTTCTTTATCTTTTCGTTTCATGATATTAAAATCACATGATGAAACTACGACCCCAAAAGGGGGGGGGGGACTAAAAAATAACTTTGATCAATAATATTTTTATTGCACTTTTGATACTTTCTTGTTTATTCTTGCCTTCATATTTTAAATCTCTCTTCTCATGCTGTGTGTACGCCCCTTCCGATGTACAATGACTCTTCTGCCAGTTGAATTGCAGTCATGTAGCTTACACTGCATTCAAAAGCAGGGGAATATAACATTTGGTTAAACATCAGGATTTTCATTTTCAAAATGACGGGTGGTATTTTGATATAAGTCAATCTATAGTTTTACTCGGAACATTTGTTAAATAAATGCTGTACTGTTTTGTTATTGAAGGTGTATAATCATAGTAATGATCCGAATTGTTCTTTTTAAGGGATGCTGATTATACTGAATATTTTCACTTGGACTTTCAGATTTGTTTTCTATTTATCTATTCTTTTACTAATTTTCTTACAGGAGACATGTCTTTAAAATTTTGTTGAGACTATCCTAGCTAGTGCCTTACTTAGCCAGATTGTGGTATTTGCATTCTATAGCATCAAAATCTGGAGGGAAAAAGAAAAAGAAAAAGAAAAAGAGAAAGTAATATGGATAGTGATCAAACAATGTGTGAAGTTTCTCAGGTGACAATATTCATTTGGATCAAATCAAAAGAAAACATATTTTCTATCTGCAGAACATTTTTAAAATCTGTCTCAGGACTAAAAAAAAAGATAGCTATTTTTGTGAATCAAGTTTTCATAATAGAGACAAATGTCATGTTGAAATATTTGGATCTATAGTTGAAAATGGCTATGTTTGAGCCTTATGGATGAAATCTGGTTGAAAGGCTGTTTTTCAAAAGACTGTTTTCAAAAGATTGGGAACTTTTGATTAAACAAAGTTGAGGATCTAGAAAGCCTCTACGGCATGAAAAATAATTTCAAATATTTATATATATATATATATATATATATATATACACACAGTTCAGAAAATTGCGGAATATTTTCAGAATTTCTCTCATTTTATTGTATGATTTGGTTGTACTATTTTACATCTCCTATTCATGTACAATTATGTATTAGAATGAACCGTTCTGAGGTTTTCAGTGGAACAAATTCATGTAGTAGAAACATGAATGACTTGATTAGACTCTGTACTGTATATACTGGATGATCTGGAGGATAAGTGTACAGCAATGGTGTTCAAATAAACGTTGTACTTATCTATGTATATACTGTACACGTATATAGAGACTGACTAAATGTGAACTGAAAAATCATTAACCCTTACTGTACTGGGGGGGGGCCTGGGAGGCCCCCCCCTCGACATTTTTGGAGATCGCGCCGCAACCGCTCGGAATTTTGAATTGTCGTTTCATGACTTTTTTCCTTCAAGTCTTACGCACATTTTGATACCATTTTCGTCGAAATCGGATATACCTGTAAGGTGTTACATAACAATTAGTATGCGCATGTCATCAAAAAAGTGCTATAATTGCATATATTCATGTACAAGCAGAAATGTGAAGATATGAATTGATATCAAATTGCTTTTATATGTTTCTCAAAGTAACTTGATGTATTTCAAAACAAAAGAATACATTAGAAATAAAACAATAGATATAATAACAAATAAAAAACAATGAAATACATAAGAAAATAAAAAGTTGAAAATCGCATCAAATTTGCATAAATTATCATTATTAATTACATCAAATAACTATTTTTTGTGTTAGAAAAGAAGTTTCATATGAATAATGAGTTTCAACATAACAAAAGTGGAGTCTGACAATTTTTGTAATGATTCTAGTTCCCTGTATATTACCAGATTAGATATTCATGAATGCGTAATTTGCGTATTCATAATTTATGCAAATTAACCTATGCATTTTCAAATATCATAAAAATAATGAAACCTCATGAATTTGAGATGAAGGAAACATTTATTCATTACATTTTCAAGATTCTTCACAAGTCTACGGACAAATATGTAGAGTTTTCTGTAAAATGCATAAAATTAGCATTTTGCATAATTAATTAGGCTATAACGACAAAAATTTGCATATTAGGAAAAAACTAATTATACCATCTTGTTCCTTACGTAAATATCTACAATCATGCAAATTTTCGCGTTCATCGGACATTCGACGGCCGAGATCATAGGGGGGGGCCTCCGAGGCCCCCCCCCAGTCAGAGAGTGCTCGAAATAGCCCAGTACAGTAAGGGTTAAACTGCAGCTTATTATTGACAGATCAAAACGTAATTATACTTTTAAAATCCTGTGATGTTCTGGAAAATTTTCTCCTGCTAATGTGTAAAGATACATACACACTTTTGACTCTCTGAGGGAAATGATTTTCGTTTTTTAAAATTCATTTCTGTTATTGATGGATTGACACAAACTAATGCGTCTGTAATTACGTCATGTAATAAATGTTGATATAACCTCAAGTGTTTGGTTGATGATTGATAATGAACCAAGTAGCACAACCTGATGGCAGCGATGGGTGGGATAGCTGCTTAAATCATCTTCTTGAATCATCTCACCTGCTGGATGAGTCCTTCTATCCTCCTCACTTGCTCTGAGTTGGCATGAAGGTTCAGTGAAACCTAGCCTGACTGACGCATGTAAACCACAAACCAAAACTACTACGGTAAACAAAACTTGGAGAGACTCTGCCGAGCAGTTGCGCGAGTCTTAGGGAAAGTTCTTGAAGAGGAAATAAGCAATCTGGGTAATGTGTAATGGCATTCCCCTAGTGCTGTTTATTCTGTCAGTGTTTTCTAGTTTACAAACATCACTATTTTTATGCTCATGTTGGCTCCTGGCCAAGTGGGTTGGGAGCAATTTTACGAGGTATAGTTAGCTGACCAAATCAGATTTCCTCCCAGATTACTCCTAAAACATCTTGAATTCTAAATGTTCATCAACAAAAATAACTTCTTACTAGGTTGCCAAAAAACCTTAATGGATGATGATGCTTTTTAACGTAAGAATGCGAGCATGTCGAAAAGCAAATGGTTTCAGTTGACAAGAACTTTGCTACAAGCAATATTTTTATAGGATATTGACTCTTTCCATTCTTTTATTTTCATTTTCTTCAAATTCTGGGTAATGTGTAATGGAATTCCCCTAGTGCTGTTTATTCTGTCAGTGTTTTCTAGTTTACAAACATCACTATTTTATGCGCATATTGTGAGAGAACTGGCATATTTGATGTCCATTGAGACTTTTATATAGATTGATCAATCTTCACTTTACCCAGTGTACACGAGAGCTTGTTTGGAAATAACATCTAGATTTATGTAAAATCTTGAAAGATTTCATCAATTGACAGATCATGTTTGTACTTTACTTTGAACATAATATGGTCAAACTTATTGAAACCACAATGCTTTGGTTTTTCAAATTATATATCTCAACCTTTTTCATGAAATACATGTAGATTTTCAAGAATTCTTTTTAGATAAGTGGATTATTTCTTGTATTAGAAATATGCAGAATCCTTATCCACTGATGTCTACTGAAAAAAATAGGAATTCAATCGAACAATCTGCATCTACTCAATCTTTCTCAAATTGTCAATTCATTTTTCATGTGTAAAGTGTGCCATACCCTAATACAGGGAATAAAAAGGACATTCCATTAAGAAATCTCTCAGCTGGCTTAAAATAAGGTTTTTAATTTGCTTATTTCATTTTTATACATCGTTGTTTGGGTTAGTTTTTTACTTTCTTACATGTAGAATCTCATTTTCTACTAGTGATGATGAATACAAGTGTATTGTGCTTTAATGTTTTGAAACCCATGTTTGTCTGTCTCTCCTCGTCCTATCAATCTGTTGCACATTTCATTTTATTTTTTTTCTTGTAATGGAAACACTTCATACTAACTAAATACATGGACAATGATTCTCAGTCTTGTGCTTATGATGTACCTGTAGGAATATGTATTTTAACAATTTAAGGCTGAAACTATGAACCTGTTCTATTATTACGCACAGCCTTAGTGTTTCTGCAGTATTTCCCCCTCTCTGCTTTTGCAATGGGACAAAGTGATTCTGTTCTCTTAATTTTCTGATTTTTATTGATTATATGATTTTTTAGTTATCCATAAGTGGCTCATTGTGGGAAAATGACGCTTGATAAACGCTACCTTTAATCATTTGTAGAAAGGAGATTTAGGTGGAAATGTAATACCATTTTCTTTTATATCGAGAAATTTAAAAACAATAATACTTAATCTGCTTAGCTGCTTGGTAGTAGGAAAGTTTTTAGCTTGCGTTTGGAATTTGAAATGTCAAAATATTACCTTATTTAATATATTGCTGGTATAGTCATAAGTTTTACTTGAATTATTGGAACGATACCAAGAGTGATCAGAACATGTAAAAACTTCATTAATTGAAAGTCAGTATGTAGTAATGTATTTATCGTTGTATTACATAAAGTAGTATGAATGGAAGAAATTCATAATTCAAGAAACACCATGATAGTTGTTTCAATGTGACTTCCCACATTGCATTGTCTTATCTAAAGTTCATATTTCATTGCCATTGTGTAACCATGCATGATCAAGACTTGGCAAATCATAAGTTGTCCATGTGAGGAGTAAATTGTATGTCATGTTATGCAATATGATTCTTTTGAATTCTTTTATGATATGCCAGGATGTTTTTTTGCAGTATATTTATATATATAAAATAAAATAAAAATTGTGTTGAAACAAGAATATGCTCTAATTTGACTATTAACAAATAACATGGAAGAATTAAGTTCAAATAATGCACAAAGGAGGAGGAGTTGTTGACAGGCTGAAAGCCATGTGGTTTTTGAAGATGAAGAAGGAGATAAAGATCTTAATTGAACTCTTTGTATTCTGTAATGTCTCATGTGTTATGATATATTCTCATCTGTTCTTGCTTTATTAAAGGAAAGCGATTGTAAAGTGTAAGATATATAATGTTCATAGTGTATATCCATTGTACAAAGTGATATGTGACTTATGAAGTCAAATATGTTGTCAATAAACTTTAAAATGTGAAATCCATAGAGTGTCTTGTATATTGCCTTTCATTCTTGTGAGATAATTAGAATTATATAGAATGACTGGTAGTACAGTGTAGAGAGAGGTAAGGAAAGAGAAAGAGAAAGAGAGAGAGAGAGAGAGAGATAGAGAGTGATAGAGAGAGAGAGAGAGAGAGAGAGGGGTGGTAGATAGAAAGAGTGAAAAACAGAGAGGGAGAGAGAGAGAGAGGGGGGGGGGGGGTGGTATAGATAGAAAGAGTGATAGACAGAGAGAGAAAGACAGAGAGAGTGGAAGAGATCAATCGGACAGAGAGAGCAAGGGTGGTAGAGATCAATCGGAAGAGAGAGAGAGAGAGGGGGGGGGGGTGGTATAGATAGAAAGAGTGATAGACAGAGAGAGAAAGAGAGAGAGAGTGGAAGAGATCAATCGGACAGAGAGAGCAAGGGTGGTAGAGATCAATCGGAAAGAGAGAGAGAGAGGGGGGGGGGGGGTGGTATAGATAGAAAGAGTGATAGACAGAGAGAGAAAGAGAGAGAGAGTGGAAGAGATCAATCGGACAGAGAGAGCAAGGGTGGTAGAGATCAATCGGAAAGAGAGAGAGAGAGGGGGGGGGGGGTGGTATAGATAGAAAGAGTGATAGACAGAGAGAGAAAGAGAGAGAGAGTGGAAGAGATCAATCGGACAGAGAGAGCAAGGGTGGTAGAGATCAATCGGAAAGAGAGAGAGAGAGGGGGGGGGGGGGGGTGGTATAGATAGAAAGAGTGATAGACAGAAAGAGAAAGAGAGAGAGAGTGGAAGAGATCAATCGGACAGAGAGAGCAAGGGTGGTAGAGATCAATCAGAAAGAGAGAGAGAGGGGGGGGGGGGGGTGGTATAGATAGAAAGAGTGATAGACAGAGAGAGAAAGAGAGAGAGAGTGGAAGAGATCAATCGGACAGAGAGAGCAAGGGTGGTAGAGATCAATCGGAAAGAGAGAGAGAGAGAGGGGGGGGGTGGTATAGATAGAAAGAGTGATAGACAGAGAGAGAAAGAGAGAGAGAGTGGAAGATATCAATCGGACAGAGAGAGCAAGGGTGGTAGAGATCAATCGGAAAGAGAGAGAGAGAGAGAGAGGGGGGGGGGGTGGTATAGATAGAAAGGGTGATAGACAGAGAGAGAAAGAGAGAGAGAGAGTGGAAGAGATCAATCGGACAGAGAGAGCAAGGGTGGTAGAGATCAATCGGAAGAGAGAGAGAGAGAGAGGGGGGGTGGTATAGATAGAAAGAGTGATAGACAGAGAGAGAAAGAGAGAGAGAGTGGAAGAGATCAATCGGACAGAGAGAGCAAGGGTGGTAGAGATCAATCGGAAAGAGAGAGAGAGAGAGGGGGGGGGGGGTGGTATAGATAGAAAGAGTGATAGACAGAGAGAGAAAGAGAGAGAGAGTGGAAGAGATCAATCGGACAGAGAGAGCAAGGGTGGTAGAGATCAATCGGAAAGAGAGAGAGAGAGGGGGGGGGGGTGGTAGATAGAAAGAGTGATAGAGAGAGAGGGGGGGGGTGGTAGATAGAAAGAGTGATAGAGAGAGAGGGGGGGGGGGGGGTGGTAGATAGAAAGAGTGATAGAGAGAGAGGGGGGGTGGTAGATAGAAAGAGTGATAGAGAGAGAGAGGGGGGGTGGTAGATATAAAGAGTGATAGAGAGAGGGAGGGATGGTAGATAGAAAGAGTGATAGAGAGAGAGAGAGAGAGAGAGGGAGGGGTGGTAGATAGAAAGAGTGATAGACAGAGAGAGAGACAAAGAGAGAGAGAGAGAGAGGGTGGTAGAAAGAGTGATAGACAGAGGGTCGATCAATCAGACAGAGAGAGAGATAGAGAGAGAGAGAGAGAGAGAGAGAGAGGGGGTGGTAGATCGAAAGAGTGATAGACAGAGAGAGAGAGAGAGAGAGAGAGAGGTGGTAGATAGAAAGAGTGATAGACAGAGGGTCGATCAATCAGACAGAGAGAGAGATAGAGAGAGAGAGAGAGAGAGAGAGAGAGAGAGGGGGGGTGGTAGATCGAAAGAGTGATAGACAGAGAGAGAGAGAGAGAGAGAGAGGTGGTAGATAGAAAGAGTGATAGACAGAGTGTCGATCAATCAGACAGAGAGAGAGAGAGAGAGAGAGAGAAGGGAAAGTGTGCTTGTGATTACAAGACAATAGCTTATTTTCGTTTTCTAATGAGTTCTTTTTTTTTACAGTAGCTAATTTCCATGAATAATTATATGAACCTGTATCTTCTTGTAGGTCTATTATCCATTATCGTTACTTAA